TTCTCTCAAGTCACAGGCCTTGGCGCTGCCCCCAGGGGAGGTGGCAGAGGTGGCCACCTTGGAAAAGCTCCTGGGGGGGCCTCTGCTACAGCCTCACCTGGGGGAGAAGCAGTGCTGATAGGAGACGAGGCCTGGCACCCCCTTTGTACGTGGTATCCCTGCGCTGAGCCGTTTCCCCCCCAGTAGCCTGAACACCACGTAGTCTCACCACGCAGAATCTCCACGTCTGTGTCCGCAGTGCGGGTGGGTGATTACACCACCGCCACTCCATCGCATGGCACGTTAGGAAGGCGAGGGACTGCACCCGAAGCCGTGAGGCTCTTGAAAGAACACCGTGAAATACTGAGCTGTATATTCCACGAAATGACCCAAGAACCATTTTACAGGCAGGAAGTGTGACTCTATCATATATGTCTGCAACCTGAAATTACCACCAGCTATCCGTGAAAACAACAAAAAAATCAAGATCATACCAGGGGCTGGTGCCGTGGCTTAGCGGGTAAAGCTGCGGCCCACAGTGCCAGCAGCCAATGTGGCTGCCAGTTCAAGACCCAGCTGCTTCACTTCCGATCCAGCTCCCTGCTAATGGCCTGGGAAAGCAGTGGAGGATGACCCGAATCCTTGGGCTCCCACATCTGCGTGGGGGACCCGAAGGAGACTTCTGGCTCCTGGCTTCGGATCCGTGCAGCTCCGGCCGTTGTGGCCATTTGGGGAGTGAACCAGCGGATGGAAGACATTTCTCTCTCTCTCTGCCTCTCCTTCTCTCTCTGTGTAACTCTGACTTTCAGATAAATAAATCTTAAAAAAAAAATCTATAAAAAATCAAGATCATATGGCCGGCGCCGCGGCTCAATAGGCTAATCCTCCGCCTGCGGTGCTGGCACACCGGGTTCTAGTCCCGGTCGGGGTGCTGGATTCTGTTCTGGTTGTCCCTCTTCTAGTCCAGCTCTCTGCTGTGGCCCGGGAGTGCAGTGGAGGATGGGCCAAGTCCTTGGGCCCTGCACCCACATGGGAGACCAGGAGAAGCACCTGGCTCCTGGCTTCAGATCAGCGTGGTGCGCCAGCCGCGGCGGCCATTGGAGGATGAACCAACGGCAAAAGGAAGACCTTTCTCTCTGTCTCTCACTCTGTCCACTCTGCCTATCAAAAAAAAAAAAAAAATCATACCAAGCCTATTATTTCTGATATTCTGTGTTTTCCTGCTAATATTTGGTAGATACACCCATTTATTTATTTATTGTCTCAGTATTCATTGGCAGACAATAGGAGCAAATTTTATGAAAAGTTTCAGAGAAAATTTTCAGTTGGATCTAATGAAGTTGAGATGGCTTAAGGATGATGGCACAATCCTACCATCCCCCCAAATGGTAGTAAGCGTGGTGACTTGATTTTACCTGTGGAACCCCTGAGCCCAGCTGTGGAGTAAATTTGAGAATGTGGTTTGAGGACAGCTGGCTTCAAGGATCATGTTTCTTGCCTCTTTAATGGTCATGCAGCATGTAGATACAGTGTTGCATCATCACCTTGTGAACATTGTAGGGTGCACTTATTTCTTTATTTCTTTTTAAGATTTTATTTATTTATTTGAGAGGTAGAGTTACAGACAGTGAGAGGGAGAGACAGAGAGAAAGTCTTCCATCCGCTGGTTTACTCCCCAGATGGCCACAATGGCTGGAGCTGAGCCTATCTGAAGCCAGGAGCCAGGAGCTTCTTTTGAGTCTCCCACATGGGCGCAGGGGCCCAAGCACTTGGGCCATCTTTTACGGCTTTCCCAGGCCACAGCAGAGAGCTGGATTGGAAGAGCAGCAGCCGGGACTAGAACCGGCGCCAACCGACTCTATGGGGTAGCTGAGTGCTCTCAAGCTACAAACCTGCTCAGCCTGTTACACATGGAACCCTGCAGCATCTGTAACACACAGTAAACGCGTCTCCCAAACAGAAAAGCGACAGTAAAAGTGCCAGGCAGCTGGGAGTGTCAACTCCTTTCTGATCCTTCCCGAGTGCTGTCCTATAGCTGCCCACCAGGGACCCAAACATCATTACACAGGCACGGATGTCTACATGTCTGATGCAAGTGATGGCAGAATGTTGTGGCACCTGGGGACTCCAGTCCAAAACACAGTCACTGCTGTGTGTTCTAGCTCTGGGGATATGGCCCTGGGTCTGGGGATATGGCCCTGGCTTCTTTCGACTCTGGAACTTTCTCCCCTCAATTTGCACCACTAAGCAAGCAGGGTTCCCAGGCTCAGCTCAAAAGCTCCTTGCTAAAATCTGTCCCAGGCCAGGGAGGATTTCCAGATGCCTCTTCTAGGTGCTAGCACTGGGGCTGGGCCAGATAAGAGCAAGGAGCCAGGAATTCCATTCTGGTCTTCCTTGTGGTGTTAGGGGCCCAAGTGGGAAACTGTTTCCCCAGGCTCATTAGCAGGAAGCTGGATCAGAATCGGAGCACTAGGACTCAACTTGGCACTCCAATATGGGATGATGGTGCCACAGTGCCTGCCACTTAGATATCATTATCATCTTCCCTCGAAGGCTACAAAATTTCTGAAAATAGGAGTGTGTTCTTGGGCATCCTTGAATCCCTGTACAAGAGCTGGTAAAGAGTTTATCAGAGGAATTCAGTGAATGCATGGAGAATTATTTGAATATTTAACATCATCAGAAGCTTAAAAATTAAAAGCCAGGGGCTGGCATTGTGGCACAGAGGGTTAAGCTTGCTGCCTACAGTGCCAGTATGCCGTAGGAGTGTTGCTCCACTTCCGATCCAGCTCCCTCCTAATGCGCCTGGGAAGCCAGTGGAAGAAAGCTCAAGTTCTTGAGTCCCTGCACCCACATGGGAGAGCTAGATGGAGTTCCAGGCTCCTGGCTTCATCCTGGTCCATTCTTTTTTATTTTTTTATTTGGCAGATAGAGTTAGGCAGTGAAAGAGAGAGACAGAGAGAAAGGTCTTCCTTCCATTGGTTCATCCCCAAAATGGTCGCTATAGCCAGTGCTGCGCCAATCCAAAGCCAGGAGCCAGATGCTTCTTTCTGGTCTCCCACGCGGGTGCAGGGGGCCATCCTCCACTGCCTTCCCAGGCCACAGCAAAAAGCTGGACTGGAAGAGGAGCAACCGGGACTAGAACCCGGCACCCATATGGGAGGTGGAGGATTAACCAAGTGAGCCACGGCGCCGTCCCCCAGCCTGATCCATTCTTGGCAATGCAGCCATTTGGAGAGTAAACCAGCAGATGGAAGCTCTCTCTCACATGCGTGCTGTCTTCCTCCCTCTCTGTGTAATGCTGCCTTTCAAATGAATAAACAGATCAGCAAAACACACACACACACACACACACACACACACCCCAACTTGAAGTCAAGGCTTCTGCAAAAGCAGTGAGCGTGGAAAAAACAACAACAGAAACCCCCGAGCAGAATGCCAGCTGGGACCGGAAAGGGAGAAGTGATTGGGAGAGGTCACGCAGAATCAGGTCAAGTTCTGGGGGAAAGAAGGAGCGAAGACACATGATGAGTGAGTGCTAATTAAAGTGGCGAAGGAGCACAGCGTGGGACTGTAAATGCCAGCAGAGCCAGGAGCTGCTGCTAGGCTGACCCTACTACACACGCTGATAGAAAAGGCGACCAACGTTCCAGCACCACTGTTGAATGAACCTGCAGATTTCCGTACATTCACGTTTTGTGGATGAGGACTGTGATGGCCCAGTGGCGGCCTCTGGACATTGGCGAACCGTACGGCTTTCTCCTGGCTTCCTGGTTTGGTGTTTTCGGCTGAGCCTCTCTTCCTGTGATTTCTTTCTGCTCGGCCTGGGTGTAGATGCTTATCCGGGAGCAGGAAGTGAGTGCATTCTTGTGCGTTTCTGCAATTAGTCTTCTAAAGAGGAAAACCAAACAAAGCAAGACAGCAAGCTGGATGTTGAGGGATATCCTAAAACCCTTCAAAGAGGCCAGGAGAGACAGGTAGAGGCTGGGCACCAACTGCCCGCCTTGTGGGAATTCATTTCATGCTAGCTTGTGTTTGTTCTGCACTTCAAAATGACTTTGAAGGTTTATTTGCAGATTCCAGCCTGGGAAAGGAGCACTTGCAAGCCCTTAATTGTACAGTAAGACATCTTTTGGGGAGAAAACTATTTTGGGAGCACCTGGGAGAGCAGGCAGAGGAGCCAGGGCCACTCAGAAATCATCCACTCTGGAGGTCACAGGTGCACCTGCCAGCAGCCAGCCCCTCTTGGCCTCCCTGAGCTGCTGTGAGGGAACCCACAAAAGGGGGTACTGAGAGCTGGAAGGGTGCTGGAGCCAGACTTCAAAGGCAGACCCTGAACTGGCCTTCAGGGCCACCATGGAAATCTGCAAACCCTGCCACCAGCGCTTTCCTCCTCCCAGAGAAGCAGCTGTTAAACATTTCCTAGCACCTGCTGTGTATAAACAAGATCCGAGAGCAGCCAGCTAACCTGCTGCAGCAAACACAGGGTTTAGCATAAAACTGGGCAGATGCACAGATAAGGTTAATGGTGTTATGTAGCCCTGCATTAATGGAAGGCTGAGAGCAATGCTCAGTGCCTTTCACTGCGTGTCCTTGGATGTAACAGAATGGGCTCTTAGGATTTCTTTTTCTTCCTTTCTCCTTAAAATGGAGGCCTCCAGTTGCAAGGCCTCTGCTTGTCAGATTACCCGTGCCTGGTGGGTACAAGAGGTTCCTCCCAGAGAATTCCCTGATGTGAGAATTCAGGGTGTGGCCTGCAACAGGTGGCACAGATCCCTGCAGCATCAGTCAAGGTAGGTGGGAAGGTTCTAGAAATTCTGGTGACTTTTTTTCACCCTAAATCTATTTAATTTTTTCCCCTAAATTTATTTTGACCTACTTGAAAGGTAGGGCTGGGGTAGGAAGAAAGAGATCTTCCTTCTGCCCGTGACTTCCCAAATGCTCTCAACTCCCCCCCACCCCCACCCCCAACCCCCCAACAGCCAGGGCTGGGCCAGGCTGAAGCCAGGATAAATCCAGGTTCTTATCCCCCACATAGAGGAAAATAATCAGGAGACTCAGAGATGAATAGAAAAGTAGGATTTATTGAAAGGCAAAAAGGTACACACTCTCGTGGCTGTGAGCAATTTCAAGAGGGAGAATTGCCCCGCCCCCATCCAGGCTGGGGCGGTCCTTTTATAGGGTGGGGATGGATCCTTTATAGGATAGGACCTGACTGAAGATGCACAGTTGACAGGATTTGGGGTGGGGCTGCAGCAGCACCAGCGTGGTGGTCTCCAGGAAGGTGGTGCTCCTCTGGGAAGTGAGGCTTAGTTGCAAGAAGAAGAGGTTGAATCAGCACAGGAAGTGATGGGATTTGGGCGCACATGGCTTGGGTGTTGGCAACCCCTCGAGCCCCATCCCTTCCTGACTCCCTGCCTTGCCTGCATCACCAGGATGTGTAAGCCGGAACCTGGATCAGCAGCAGCAGAGTAGCCGGGACTCACCGGTACTCTGTACAGGGACGTGGAAGTCCCAAGGGGCAGGCAGCTTTGCCAGCCACTACAACACTCTCCCCCAATTCCACGTTCTTTATCTCAGAGCCAAATTCTTTTATATATTTTTTAAACTTTTTTTTCTTAAGATTTATTTATTTGAAAGGCAGAGCTACACAGAGGCAGAGAGAAAGAGAGAGAGAGGAGAGAGGTCTTCCATCCACTCATTCACTCTCTGGATGGCTGCAACATACTCACATCTCAGTGTATACCATCCCTTTGCCTTTCAATAAATCCTACTTTCCTGCTCCAGTCTGTAGTCAACATCTCCTGGTTATATTCCTCCACACGGCAAGACCAGGTCTAGCCAGGGTCTGCCTGAGCCCAGGCAGGGTTCCTGCTCCACACAACATAATCCAGGGCTTCCCAAGGTTCAGGTGTTTACCTTGTGTTCATCAAACTGAACACTGAAGAGCTGTGTCTTACTGGATGGAACTCATACAGCAGGTTTTAAAAAGACAGGTTTAAGGCTAGCCCTGCCTTTAACTTTCTATATAGAGAAGTTCTTCCCCTCTTTGGACGCCAGTTTTCTTGTCTATCAGATGGAAGTAGCACTTATACGCACGCTGTGGGATATCACGGATGCTAATTAAGGCTGTGTGAGTCAAAACCGCTTTGTAGATGGTGAGAAACCCCTGCACGCTCCCCACGGCTGCTGCGCCTCCTTGCATCCAGTTGCTTTTTCGTGCTGGTACAATCTGCAGGCTCTGCCTTGCCTCTCCCCCTGCAGAGCTGTGTTGACCCATTCTTGGAAGGCTCTGGGGACACCACAATGCTGCAGAAAGGGAATCGAAATATAGATTTGCCAGGGAGACTTGGGCCAGCTGGAAGGGAACAGCTGGGGAAAGAGCTATCAATCCAGGTGGGTGCTGGGAGAGCGTTGCTGAGTGCCTGGGAGAGAATCGTGACCAGTACAAGCAGCGTGAGCTTAAAAAAAAAAAAAAGAAAAGACATCTTGCCAAACAAACTGGGTCACATTCGTGAGGGAGTTAGTCACTGAGCAGAGCTGCACGCGCACTTCCAGAGCAGAAAGCACAAGGCTTGGAGATCACCGTGACTCAGCTGGAAGCGGCGCAGGCACACAGAGGAGACTCTCCGAGTGGCTCCTACTTTGCATCTTGTGGTATTTTTGGTCTGAACTTGACCTGTACTCCTACCGGCGATCACAAACCATCTTTCCACGGAATCGGGCACAGTGCACAGCACACATCTTCAAACAGGGAAATCTTAGCAAGAAGCCGAGTTAAGCCAAGCAGAGAGAGTGAGAAGGCCATGCTGGAATTCACCCTTGGAATTGAGTGGGAGGTGACAATGGCCTGAGCCCAGCCAAGCTCCTGAGGGATTAGGCCGACGGAGTCCTTTCGATTTAGAAACTGAACAGAGCCAGTCTGCAACGAAATCCTATCAGATGATTGAACAGTATCGAAATCGAATTTTAAATGGTTAGCCTCTAAAATAAAGTTAAAATAGGGAAAGGTTTAACAGGAAGAAATCATCTAAAAGAGAAATCTGATGTGTGAAATTTTGAGTTTGTCCTCATTTTAAATTTTTGGTGCTTTCTGCTATACATTTCTGCCAAGAAATGTGATATGTTGAAAACGAAGAGGAAATGTACTCCATCTAGATGCTGTGACTACACAAGGCTGTTTAAAATGATAGAAGTCAGTCGAGGTTTTCCCAGAGAACAAGCTTACAAAATTAGGCTCTTAAACTATGAAAATCAGGGCGAGAAAAAAAATCTTGAGCAGAGGCAATTTCTAAATTTATTTTAATAAAATTTCCGTTGTCCCACAATGTTTATCTTTGCTCTGGGCATGTGAAATTTCTTCTGCTCCTCAGAGCTGTGCCTACTAGAACAAAGCAGAGGGCTGGGAAGAGAGCGGATAGAGAGTGGAGGCACCGTGAGAAGCCAGGGGCGTCTTCCTGTGAGCTCTGAACCCGGGAGGGGGCACCGTGAAAAGCTGACACATGCACGCGCTGTGCGTCCGGATGCGATGCCAGCACCCAGGATGCTGAATGAAGTCTGCAACATAGGAGACTTCTCCACTCAGGTCTTCATCTTGCTGCAAATTTTGGGCCACAGACCTGAGGACTCCCCCGCCCCACCGCAACTCCACCCATCTGTCATCCTCTCCCACCTCCACACTCAGCGGCTACACTCAGTGCCTCTCTGTTAATGAGCTCAGGAAACCTGAGGCCGGACTTCTGCAGCCTGCTTTGCCTAGGTCTTTGGGAAGCACTGAAGATACAACCTCTCCACCAAGTGTCTCGAAGGCTGTGAGTTCTGAGCAGATTCCTCCTCTATCTCCCCTGCCTTCAGGGTGGCACACTTGAGTTTGGTGTGCTCTCCATCATTTATTGGCCAACTAGGTAACCTCTGAGCACTGACACCCTGGTAGTGCAGGGGAGCACGCCATGAACAGGTAGTCAACACCTAGGAGCTACAGTTATGTCACCTACTTACCGTTTTTGCTGGTCATTTGATTGGAGACCTTGATGGCAAGTTGGCCCGATCAGCAGACAACAGGACATGATACACATGATCTAAGAAGAGCAACCCACAATCCTCACAGGCTTGTTTCTGTCCCAACCCAACTTTCCAAGTGCAGAACTGGGGACATGTGGCTTGACAGCACTACCTGTGAGACAGATGGAGAAGTCTGGTTCCCAGTGATCTGTCAGGACTGGGGCAGGGTCGGGTAATTTGGCTTTGAGCTCTTCTGTTACAAGCAACCGAAATGGACTCTCCCTTAATCCAAAAGGAATTTTCTAGAAAGGGGAGGAATAATTGTTGACTGCTGAAGAGCCAAGCCTCAGGAAGAAGACCCGCCTTCCCCACGAATGTAGCCAATGGGGTTTCTCTGCTCCTCTGATTTCTGTTACATCATTCCCCCAAAGGCTGGAACTCCAGGAGCCAGAGTCCAGAGGGCTTCAGCTGGCCCTGAGGGAGGGGCCAGGGAGACCCCGGACTCTTGAGAATAAGACTACTTTCCTTATGGGTAACTAATGTGCTTTTACTCAGGAAGTAGAAAGGCATGCTTGACAGGCAAAGCCAGGGGTCTCTGGCATGTTGATTTCAGAAAGGAGCACAGCAGAAAGCAGAACCCGCCCCCCGCCCCCAGCCTCGCTCCAGCTGCATTGTGGGAGGAGGGAGGTTCTGAGAGTGATTGACAGGGTGACGGACTGCACAACACAACACACACGAAATGGCTAAAAGAACTGAGGGATGGAACCCAAAGGAGAGAGACTGAGCTGGCATCTAGTGGCTGTCCTCAGGGTAGGGTCTGGTGTGCAGAAGGGAAGAAATTTGGTAGTCAGTGGCTCTACCAGGAAGAGCTAGAATCCCTCAACAGACGTTAAAGGAATGGTGTCAGCCCATTTTATGGAAGAAAGCTCTTTCCCAGAAATGAACTGATTTAAGAGGGAGGGAACTTCCCGTCCCTGGGCAACCCCGGATGTTCCATTACCTATGGCAATAGGCACAACTCCTCATGATGCATTACGACACACTGCGTGCCATGGCCCTGCTGTGTGACGGCTGACTTCATGGCTGGTGATGCGAAACAGCACCCTCGCTTTGGCCATATCCACCCAAGAGCACTGATCTCCCCTTAGAGTTACCATAGGGGAGCCCTTTACTATACAGCAACTGCTTCACCCAAGCGCCTCCTGTGTGATGGGCTGACCTGCATCCTTAGGTATCAGTGTGAATCGAACCAACACCTCGCTCCATCACTGAACAATATCCAACACATGTATGTCCAGTCTCTGGAACCATACCTATGATTAGAAAACTAGATCGTACATATGCATATTTCAGAACATTGTGTTGGGGGCTGGCATTGCCTGGTGGCTGGGACCGCCGCATCCTATATCAAAGTGCCACTTCTACTTTCAGCGTCCTGCTAATTGCACACCTGGGAGGCAGCAGGTGGTTGGGGCCCTGTCATTCAAGTGGGAGATCTGGATTAAATCCCGGCTCCCAGGTTCACCATGGTCTAGCCCTATTGTGGGTATCTGGGCAATGAACCAGCTGATGGGCATTCTCTCTCTGCCTCTCTGCTTCTCAAATAAAAAAAATGTAAAAACTGTACTAGAAACTCATTGTGTTGTATGCAACAAACAGCTATAATTTTTACTTGTAAATTAAAATAATTAGATATACACATAAGTTGTAAAAAAAGAAACCTAGAGTGTCTGAGTGGGAGGGGCTTTGTGATCAGTGAATTTACAATATTTGAATGTACCCAAAGGCATTCCCGACAAGTTGATTTGTAACCTGGTCCTAGTCGAAAGGCCAAGAAATGATGTCAGAGTGTGGTCTTGATTCCTTTGTAGCACTCACAATCTCCTAAAGTAGTCCACACCACCACTTGGGCAATTTTGGTGAAAAACATCTTACTAAAGGGTCGATCTACTTGCCACGTGGGCATGTCTATCACAATTTAAAACGCACACACCCTCTGACCAGCAGTTCTACCTCCAACAATTTATACTGCAGATGTGGTCCTCATGGGCTCAAAGATAGGTGTGTACACATAGACCCTACAGCTAAGGGCTGGAAGTAATTTAAATGTATAACCAGGGGACTGATGGTATGTGTCCTGTGGAATACCAGGCAGCTGTTAAAAAAAAAAAAAATTGAACCTTTCTCATTCACTGGTTCAATTCAGTGGAGTATGTGAGAAAAAACGTGCTCAATGGTACAGACAGAAAAATTCCAATCACGTCATAGAAAAGAAGGGTATAAATGAATACACAAGTGTGTTTAGTTAGGTCTGAGCTCGAAAGACATGGCTGCTCTGGGTGAAGGCAACCCTGAGGAGTGGTGATCAGGGGTGGAGAATACCCCTGAGTATGAGGGTACGGAAAAATAGAATTGAAAGATGAGTTTGGTTTGGTGCAACAAAATGTACTGGAATCAATACATAGCTTTTTCATAAAATGAACTGTCATGAACTTTTTGAGGACCACTAAAATGCACGGATTTCGAAACATTTTTGGTACCAAAATAAACTTGCCTTCATTTCCTTGTCCATGAAGTCTTTGAGACACCCTCCTGCATGTGTAGATGCTGGTACAGTCAGGCCTTCATATTCGTGGATGGAGACAACTGACCACTGATCAAAAATATGGGTATCAGGGCTGGCCTGTGGCATGGTATGTAAGGCTACCTCTTGTAGTGCCAGCATCTCATTTGGGCGCTGGTTTGAGTCCCAGCTGCGCCACTTCTAATCCAGCTCCCTACTGGTGGTCTGGGAAAGCGGTGGAAGATGGCTCAAGTGCTTGGGCTCCTATGCCCTCATGGGAGACCCAGAAGAAGCTCCTGGCTCCTGATCGGCCCAGCCCCGGCTGTTGTAGCCATTTGGGTAGTGAACCAGGGGATAGAAGACCTCTCTCTCTCTCTGCCTCTGCCTCTCTGTGACTCTGCCTTTCAAACAAATAAATACATCTTAAAAAAAAATCTTAAAAAAAAAGTTCTGAGAGTTGTTTAAAAAAAAAATAACGGGTATCTGGGGGCGAGTGTTGTAGTGTAAGGGGTTAAGTCAGCATTTGGGATGGCTGCATCACATACTGCATTGCTGGTGTCTCTGCTTCTGAGCAGGCTTCCTGCTAATGCATTCTGCTAGGCAGCAGATGGTGGCTCAAGTGCTTGGGCCCCTGCTACCCATGTGGGAGCTCCACTTGGAATTCTAGACTCTTGGCTTCAGCCTGGCCCAACAGTGACTGTTGTGGGCATCTGGGGAACGGACCAATGGATGGAAGAGCTCTCTCTGTCTCTGTTGCTCTGCCTTTCACATAGATGAAAACAAAGGTGTTTTTTTTTTTCTAATTGAATATTTTGGAAAGATGCATTGGTACTGAGCCTGTACAGTATTTTTGTTGTTGTTGTTGTTGTTACAATGACCTAAACAACACAGTATAACATCAGCATGGCATTTGCATTGTATTAAGTATTATAAGTAATGAAAGGTGACTTAACGGGGACGGCGTTTGGCACGGTGGTTAAGTCGCCACTTAGGACATCCGTATCTCATATCAAAGTGCCTGGGTGTGAGGCCTGGCTCTGCCCTCCGTTCCAGCTTCCTGCTAATGTGCACTCTGGGAAGCAGCAGGTGGGGGCTCAAGTAGTTGGGTCCCTGCCACCTGTGAGGGAGATCAGATTGAGCTACTGGCTCCTGGTTTTGGCCTGGCCCAGTCCTGGCTGTTGTGGGTATCTGGGGATAAGACAACAGATAGGAATGCTGTCTGTCTGTCTCTCTGCCTTTCAAATAAATAAATAAAAACAATTTCTTAAAAAGATGCTATACAGGCTATGGGAGTAGATGCACAGTTTACATGCCAATATCACACCCTTGTAAGTAAAGGACTTGAGCATCTGTCAATTTTGGTATCTGTGGGTGTGCTGGAACCAACTCCCCACACATACTCAGAGATGACTCTGTGTGTGTGTGTATATATATATATATATATAATTTAAATTTTTTGGTCTGTGCGTGCATCACTTTGAAAGCTTTTTAAAAAATCTCCCCTCTGGGTCAACTGTTAAACCCAGACTTGGGTTTCCACATCCCATATGGGAATGCCTGGGTTCAAGTCCTGGCTTTGCTCCGAATTCCAGCTTCCTTGTAATGGGCACTCTGGTAGGCAGCAGGCGATGGCTCAAGTGTCTGGGTCCCTGCCAGTCATTTTGGAGACAGGGACTGAATTCTGGGCTCCTGGCTTTGGCCTGGTCCAGCCCTGACTGTTGCCAGCATTTGGAGACGAAGCAGTGGATGGGACATCTCTCTTCATCTGTCTCTATCCATCTCTCAGCCTTTCAAAGAAAATCAATTTTAACAACAACAACAACAATAATAATAATAGACCTGCCCTCTTTAATCCTGGCTCAGGGTCCACTGTTGCCACCTCTTACAGCTGTACAGATTACCTCTAATCATTTTTCTGTAGCAGCCTGCATTTCAAACATCCACCGCGAGTCCCTTACACCACTTCTCCAGGTTAAACAATCAGGTTCTTCGCATCGCCTCTTCCGCCTGCGGCCAGCGGGCCTTCCCTGCCTGTTCGCCTGCACCTGCAGACCCCAAACCCCGGCGGTGCAGCCGCGGGACGGAGCGGTCTTCAGCGGCCTGAAGCCCCCACGCCACGCTGGACGGTGAGGGCGAGGAACGCCCGGAGTAGCAGGAGGCGCAGAGGGGCCCTGGGCTCTGCGCGACGGCCCGGGGAGAGCCCCGGTGGGCAGTGGGCCGCAGGGGAAGGGAGGCAGGGCGCGCTTCACTGGGCTGCTGAATGCCGGGGCTGGACGCGCGGTTACCGTTTGCCAGGGTTTTTACACCCTGGGCTGCATTTGCTACCCCCACAACCCTTAGAGGCTGGCGGTCAGGATCTGTGTTTCTCATTTCAGGGGGAAATGGCCTCAGCCAGAGATTAGGGATTTACTGCGCTCTACCGAGTCCCCGCCGTTAATTACAAACAAGCAAAAACAACAAAACAAACAAGATTATTGCTAAATTATCCCAAGTCTCATACTTCAGAAAGATCTGGAAATGCTCTGGAGAGAGTTGAAACCGACTGATGGATGCCCTAGATCTGACCGGGCGTCCAGGAGCCCAGGGCTGTTTGCGGGAGGCCCCCCACCCTCCACGCCATAAAGACCCCCGCTGAGCCACTAAAGCTGGCCGGTCCTCTTCGACTGCGCTGGCCACGCATGGGCCCGCCTCCATCCAAGGGTAAGAGACCAATTCCACCGGGGACCCCCTCTCCTGCAGGGTCTGCGGCCCAGACCACAGCTCAAAGAGGTGGGCGAGGCGGTGGCCCAAAGGGCTCTGGCGGTAAGGGTTCAAGAATTGGGGCCTCTAGATGCCGGTAGCATGGTCTGGCTGCTCCCCCGCGGTGGGGGAGGGGGGTCGGCCTCCGGGAAGTTCATGTTTCCCTTTGGGGATGAGCTCCCTGGCCGCTTCATCCTAATTTCATCAGGATAAACCAACCGGGACAGCCGAAGGAAGAGCACGCGGGGACATTGCCTTGCAGTCTGCAAGCGCCAGTCCCCCCACCCCCCACCCCATCCCACCCCCGGAACCAGGAAAGCGCGCGTCTTCTTGCACAGGGTTAGAAGAGAGACTCGGAGGGTGTTCCAAACCGGCAAGCCCTGCGCCAGCGAGAAAAAGAGGCGGCCAGAGGGAGGTGGCGAGGCTGCTGCAGGAAGTCTGCCTTCTGGCCTCGCGCTCGCCTGGCAGGGAGTGGTGTTGGAAATATTTAACGGGGAGGGGGGTGGGTGTCTGACCAATCGGAGCTGTCACCGGCTGGGCCTCGGCAGCCGGCTGCGGGAGGCCCCCTGCTGGCGCTCGCGGGCCGGGGCTGGGGCCGGGGGAGGGGCGCCCTGGCCGTCCCGCAGCCGGCGCTGAGCGTTTCCAGGCTGGCGCGCGTT